ATCTCGATGACGCAACAATATTTTTATAACTATCACACCTTCCAACTTCAATAAAAGATTAGGAGGAAAAATGTAACCAGAAGTCTATTCTGAAAATACAAGTTATGTGCAAAAACAATTAATTTTTATAAATGCCTGAGCATTGAGTATTTAAACAAAAACTTACGTGTATTTCTAGTGCTTCGGGTACTCCTTGTACTTGATGCTGAAAAAACTTCTTTCATTAATTTTACTGAAAAACTTTAACATATTTACAATAAAATACTGAATTTAATCACAGAACACTGCACAATGATCTAACCCCTTTATCACAACTATCTGAAATGGCATATGCTACTTTTATTTGTATTTGAAAAGAAAGAAAAGCTGAGTTTATTTTCATTACATCCTGCTCCGAAGTTCGGAAAGTGAAGCAAGTACAGTTCACACACACACATATATCACAACTCAAAAAACCCAATAATCCAATAGTCAGTTCTATATTCAGAAAACCCTTAGGTTTTTGATGTTTCAAACTATGATTCATCTATTCTTTCATACTTATTTTCTCTTTCACGCACACACAGACAAACTTTAATATGACCAAAAGGTGTGAGAAAATTCATTCATATTAAACCAATGGTCAATAAGTTATTCCATGAATGCTGAAACTGTGACATGAAAAACACAGAACAAAGTTAGATTACATCATTCTTGAACCAATGACAAAAGTAAAAGATCTGTGCCAAAGCAAAACCTATACATCATAGGCCTACTCTATTCAGTATAGTTCTATCATAACTTATGGATTTGATATGGGTATGTTTATTGAATTTATTACATTATTTATTATGTGATATTTTGGCTGTTGCTGTTAGGTCTATGACTAGCCATGAAAGTTAAGTGGCACTGACATTATGGACATGGAAAGTAAAAGTCACAAAGAGGTGTTACCATATCCAATCAGTTGTAACAAATACATATAAATAAACAAAATCAAGTTTTCCGTTACATTGAGTAACCAGATCAGGTCACAGAGACGGTATTTACACTACAAGAAAATACTAATGTAGTGGCATGCTACTGGACATTAGAGCTGTGAGGATATATTTCACTCTGGCAAACTTGATCATAAAAGAGTGTAGAGTTGCTATGATAAACTTATGGCCAAACATGGAGGTGAATATATCAGACTGAAACAATCTGGTGGCTACTGGCAAGTATCGGATCTCATGTGTCTTAGAAATAGGTAATTGCAGATTGTTGAGAAATTCTCCTCCCTGGACTGAATGAATATTTTACAGCCCTTGCATGAAAAGGTATTCATATACTGAGATAGTTAAATGAGGAGAACCAAAGGACATACAATCTCAAAGGAAGGAGTCTTCATTGTTCTCAGTGAAAGTAAGAAAAACCAGCACAGCAGGACATTAAAAACAATGACAGGCTCTGAAACTACACACCAAGCAAATTTTGAACAATGACTCATCCACAAAAGTGAAGGTTTTGTTTAAGAAAGAGAAACCTTTAGTCCAATGAAGCCATTGTGACAAACCTAGTATGTCTTTATAAAGCTCAAATGTAATAAAAAAAAACAAGGATCAAAAGTTAACAAAGACTTGCAAGCTAACAGTTCACAACCTTCCAGTTATATCTCAAAATCAATAAGAAATATAACAAACTGAAATCACCACCTCATATTTGTCAAATTCCTTAATGAAGCTTCAGACTTTTTTCTCTCCTTTTTTTGGTCAGATTAATTCTTAAATGTATAAGCGCATCAATCTGACACCTGTTTTATGATGTTTTATTGCATTGCAAGAAAACAACTATCCCATGAAACTCGAAAACTAGATATGAACTTTCAATACATTTTATAACTTCAGCAAAATACCTTATCTTAGTTTTATATGTTATATTTGAATGAATTTGCAGCTTTGAAAAGTCAAAAAGATTTCACTGTAAATATTTTGAGAAACAATGGAAAATGCTTACCTTAGTTGTAGATTTTAATTACTCATTTTTAAGTCTTCCTAATTTCTTGTAAAACTTTCCTAAAAAGTTTCTATTACATAAAACTAAATTCTATTTTTTTTTCAGAAAACACTACGTGATGCTTCAATATGTTTATAACCACTTATGTACAACACAATAGCTTTTTTTTACAATACCAAAGTTATAATCAATTAAACCTTTTTTATACAAGTGCTATTCAAAAGGTGTAATATATGAAATAAATTTTAAATTATTTTATATTCATTTATATAGTTTTAACATTACTTTTCAGTGATTTTCTTTACCCATTTATGCAATTACTTAGGTCTTGTCAGCAAAATGATACTTGGTAGTCAAGAGCAAAATTATCTAGGTCTCAAATTTTCTACCTTATCTTGTTCCACAAAATACATTTGCTTTTCTATCATACTGCAATATTATAACTCAAATAAACTATAAAATGATAAAACTTTAAAAAATAAGGGCTATAACTGTGTCAGAAGTTTATAATTTTGTTATATTTCTAAATAAAATTAACTTTTTATCAAGTAAAATTTGAAGCTTTTTTTAACATGTGGAAGAACTACTATAAAAATTTATTTTCTATATCTTTATTTATTCAATGGTACAGTTTTGCCATTAGGGTAGGATGCACCCAGTTGGGTACTGTAAAGTTAAACTTTGTTTTGGAAACTGATATCCACATATAGTGCCATCTTTTACACAGACATGTTAAAAGTATAAACTGTCATGTCAGGTAAGAGCATGTATTCAACCATCATGCCAAGTACAATAATTGGATGTAATTCCAATGGTGGCAGGAAACTTATAACGTGTAATTAAGTTTAGTATTTGTGCAAATCTTCAAAATTATCTTAGTTGATTATCCTTACTTGGTAGTTTCTGCTGGTTTTGGTATTCATATTGACATATATTGAGAGAAAAATTATTATTATGAAACATGATGGTTTTGAGGTTTTTTATCAAGATATCTTAGAAGCACAAGTAAATCTGAAAAATTCCCACACTAAATCCTTCTAAAATAATGTAGCCTGCATTTAATCACCACTTTCAAAAACTTTCAAATAACACTAGTAAAATTGGTCAAAAAATTGTGTAAATGCCATTTTAACAGTTTATACTTTTTACACAACAGTAAGTGAAATGTTAAGTAAAAACATGTACTTCCTGTAAAAAATATTTTTGAATTGTATACTTACTATAATGTTGGCAGTAACAGATTTCACTGAACTAGTTTTAGAAACTTGGATCCAAACTTTGTATTAGGTAGAAATCTTTTTTGTTTGATGGTGAAATGAGATTACAAATACTTTTATACTCTTATTGATATAAAAATTGTCATAAGTTACAGTAATTTTCTATAGAACATTAAAAAAAAGCTTACGTGTTTGTGGATCTTGACTTCGAACTCTCCTTGAACGAGGAGTTTTTGCTGGGGAAGACATACTCAGAGTCCAGTTAGCTAAGTTAAATTCAAAGCAGATCAAAAATCTATTTATATATTCTATTTTAATACTGGTTAGAAAACAAAAACTACCTCATTTCATACAAATGGAACTTATCAACAATAAACAATTAGTTGACTACAGGCTCTTATTAAACACTATGGACCTTTGTAATTTTTTCTTGCATTTTTCTTGTTTTAATATAATTTATGACACTATCACATGCTTAGAGTATTCTTAACTTTTAAAAAAGTGTCTATATATAGTTTGGAGCTGAGTAACAGTAAAAAATATGAAAGATATATGTAGTATCTTTTATTTCAAGATTAGAAGATTAATAATGCCCCAGTATTACAATGCTAAGACATCTTCTCAGAGCCTGAGCCTTGAAATCTTAGCTCACAAAGGATAATTTTTTACCAATTATGTACCAGAACTTAATCCCTAGCAGACAACTCTTATCCTAAACATTATACAATCTTCTCACTGAAACAAGATTCACCCTCCAGCTTATGACACAAACTGACATTTTCAGGGTGTTATCACAATAGTCTAGCTATCCTCCACTTGACAACAGTTATGCATACAAAAGAACAGACCAACTGCTTGGCCAAACATTTTCATGGATGGTTTGATTCATCATTTCCTCAACTCAGATGGCGCACTTGGGAGTGGGATAACCGCTAACCAGGCACCAATGAAACTGATTTAAATGCTATGAAAACTATATTGACTGAAGCTTTAAGCCTGGTATACTTGGTTCACTAAAGTAAAGTTCTATGAGACAAGTGTTCAACCAACTAGGAAATCAGAATAAGTCGTAACAAATAATTCCAATTCTGACTATTATAATAAGTAACTGGGCAACCAAGCATTATGGTAAAATTTAAATATCGTCTAACTTGGTCTATTTCCTGTGCACAACTAAATCAGTTCATTTATGGATTAACATGCAAGTTTTCCTATCCCCTGTTTAAACAAGTAACATTTACCAACATGTTCAAGTTAAATTATAGAAATATTTTCTCTTAAATCCTTTGTTTAATATCAGCACTTGTACCATTAAATCTAAAAACACAAGAAAAAAAGTCAGTTGACCTTTCTATTTCCTTAATGATACTATTTCTTAATCTGTTTTGTAAGCATAAGAAATATTAAAACTTGTGTAACAAAGAATGAAACAAAATTTACTATAATCACTATAATGATATTACAATTAACAGAAATGGTAACCAAGATAAAATGTAATTGTACAAAAACAGAAGTTTATAGCAATGATTCATACATAACAATTACGTCTTGTTTGACTACATGGTTAGTGTTATGTGTTGAAATTAACATCTTCACTGATTGATGTATGAATATGTGAAGTGTTGTATTTAGTTGGTTTCATATTTCACTGTTCATGGTACCTATTTTTTTTTATTTATATTCAAGAAACTCTTGGTATTGTATATGCACTAACCATTTAAACAAGTTGATTTAGTAAAATAAACTAAACCAGGCCAGAAACTAAGTTATTAGGATTATACCAATTATTCAATGATGTCACACCACAAGATAAATCCTAATGAACCTATTCCAAATCTTAATTAACATTTTGAACAAAACTACAAGTTTTAGTTACTCTTTATACCCAAACTACATAAAAAAACAAGTAACATGCAAACAGTATTAATAATAATATTGAACTGTATTTCCTTTCTTAAAGTTCACTTAGGCATTTATTTTATCACTAAATATTCAATAACACCAAGATTCAAACTTCAAGTCTTGAATTGTCAAAACCCATCCCATTTAAATGATTTATGTTTGAAAGTTGAATACATAAATAAATTAGTTTGAACCACGCAATCACTACACTGTTGAAACTGTGGGTTAATACTAACATCGTGTTACTGATAGTGATATCTATTGGGTTAAACACTATTTCAGTACTATCAGTATTATGATTAGTATCATTCTTATACTATATACAACAGTTATATGGTGACAAGTAGTAATTTTAGGATAACTTATGAAGTTATAGACGGAAACACACTTTTGTTACAAACTTACAATTATTATGTTTGTATACAAAAAACAAATATCATTATCATAAAAAATTGGCAGTTGCCTAAAAGCTGATATAACTTACTTTAAATTTAAAGTACTTTAACTTACCTAACTCCCAACACAAACATTAACTTGGTTATGACACCTAACAATTTTTGGCGCGAATAACTGCACTATTTTAAATCACGTGACTCTATTCCACAAATAATCTGAAACCATATTCTAATATTTATGTGTAGCGACACCTTTCGCTAAAAATAAATATAAACTGAGTGGTTACTTTATTATTATGAAAGATAATATATTTATTTTTGTTTATACCCAAATTATGATCTTATAATTTATTCTTCCAAAACCACTTTTGGAAAGACACTTATGTTATCCCTGAAACACATATCTATAAACTTTTAGTTCTAATAAATACCTTTTATATATATATAAAAAAATCCTCTACAAAGCCCAACCATACGAAATGTACAGGCCGCCAATTTTAACCTGTCATAATCGCTACTGCGCTCCCAGATAACAGCAGCGACTCGTAAATAAAGTGTAAATAGTGAATGGTTCTCAATTACGTGAAAAGCCCTGATAAGTTCATGTTCAAACACGAAGCTACAAAATGGGCTACCTGCGTTTTTGCACACCATGGCGTCAAAACTCATTTTTAGCGTATAGATCATAAAGCTCTGTCGAAATAATGGGTGGGAACCTAAAAATAGAAAACGTTTGAAACAAAAAAATCTATTGTGTTATGCCATGTTATCAATATATTCGACTAAGCTAGTTGTGAAAATATGATTGATTTTTTTAAATAAACTATCAAAAGCTAAATTTAAACCATATGTTATTCCACAGAATAGTTTTAAAAATCCCTACTGATGACAGTATAAACTTATTACAGTACATGTTTTATGTTGTTGTTTGAACGCAAAGCTACACAATGGGTTATCTGCCCTCTGTCCACTGCAGGGAATCGAATGGCTAAAGTGAGTATAATCACTATGTCATGGTATTTGTTTTCAGTCATGCTATTAATTAGGTTTCCATCTACACTAAACTTGTAAGACTGTATGACCCAAATTATTATAACCCAAATGTATTATCTTGCACTTGATATAATTATATATCATTTACTAAATGTTTGTTTAACTTCCCAATCGATCCAAGTTATTCAGTAGTACCCCAACTTCCTTAATACAGCTAAAATTACTCCAAAATATAATATCAGCAGCAAACTTTATTTATTATTCTACTAAAGAGTAATTTAATTTAGACTAATAGAACAAATGTAAAATATATAGAAATTTCTGAAATATTTTAAACGATGAGTATTACAAACTGAAATTAGACTTATGTAAACTTGAATGATTCCATGGTACTTTCAGATAGCACTGATTTTCCCTAAGATAGTTCCGCTGAATAACGGGAGATTTGTCAAGATATGTAGTGCGAAATAATTTTGTATTTTGGGATGAACTGAATTCGCGAGAAAAAAAGTTTGTATAAAAATGCCCAATGAAAATAAACAATCCTTATTCAAACAAACACAGTGAAAATTAACCTTACTTGCTACAATGGTCAGTCCAGTCGCCTTTAGTGGAGAGTTAGGTTTGATGTTGTTTTAATGTGTTCAAACGAGATCGTAAGTAAGACGAACTCTGTTAATATCGTGTTCCAGACTGAGTAACTATCATGTTACTTACTTAACTTGTTAACATAAGACTCATCCAAAGTAGCTGCCATTACCCACATGAAAACTATTTTCTCCATAGATCACCCAAATACCACTGAAAAAGTTAACTATATAACTTCACAAATAATAGTAGCTATTTATACTACGAGAAGACAAATAGTTTATTCAGGTAAATGATACAAAACAATAGGTAACTAGAACAAGCCAAGTCGTACTGACTACATTTCTCATGGTTATTTTGTTAGTTAAATCTCTTTCAAGGATTAAAACCATTAGTGCATCCAGCCTCTTAGAAGTGCCACGACATATAAACCAAGTGTATGCAAAGACGAGCGTAGTTTGAGCAAACTGAAATTAGTAAAATCATATTACGCTCGTCTTTGCATACACTTGGTTTTAGCAACCCCTGATAACACCTTATGTTTAACTTACTCAATGCACCATAAGCTGCCTCCTTGAAAGTTATTTGCTTAGTTGACGAGATTGCTTTTTGTTACACTTCTTGTAATAATGCTGAAAGGACTGGAAGATCATTAAGATAATGAATATTCAACGTTGATGTACTATCCATTGAAGGATTAAGTATTTGGATTCAGTGCATTTAAGAATGGTGGGAATACATACTTAATATCAAACATCTTGTCATTCATCTCAAATATTATAGAATCAAAAACTATTCTTACGTCTAATACCATGAATTTGCCAAGAAATTTAAGTGGCTTGAAAATATTTATTCTCATATTCTGCATCAATACCATTTTGTTTAGCTTACAAAGCTGCTGCCTTAATTAGCTCATTCAGTATTACATAAAAGCTCATTTCCATTACAATGACTGCAATAATTACGTCTACCCCTCATTACTCTATAAGTTACGTCGACATTTTGGACTTAATGAAGACATTCTTGCTAAATATTAAGGTTACAATGAAGTTGAATCTTCAAATCCTACTTAGAAGCCCTGATGCTTTGGTGAATGTTTCTTTGTCAAAAACATCGTTTTAATAATGTTCAGTTGCCTAAATTGCGAATAAATGTTCAGTAGCTGTTTGCTGTTCAAGAACAGCTCAAGCATTGTTCGGTATGACATTTGTTTCACATCTTTCAGAAATTGTTTTTAAGGTTTCAATAACTTCGTTATATGCCCATTAGTTCGACCTCACAGATTATGGTGTTGTAGATGAAAGAGTATGTGAGAAACTTTAAGTTTAATGAATTTTGAATTTCTGTAGCAAATTTTTATTTTTCTTTATATTTAAGAGGGAGAAACA